GTGTTTCTCCTTTAAAGACTTCTTGTGGTTCTGCAGGTTGACGTTGGTGCTTCTACGTCTTTCTCCTCATTTTTCCTGCAACGTTTCATCAGTGAGCCGTCGGTTTACGGCTGCTGTTCGTCCGTTTGTGCTCATTTCAGTCATCTTGCTTGTTGGTTTTTGGCCTCTTTGCAGTTGTTCTGTGTCCATTTGTTGTTGTTTTTTCGTGCATTTGTGTTCATTTTGTGTGTCTTTGCAGTTACGCTGCATCTCAAAATGACAAAAGTCTTCAGTTTACCGTCATAAAGGAGGAAAGAAACCAGGAAGTATTCACATTTAAGAAGCTGAAATCACAGTTTTTTACTCAGACTGATAGTTGGAGGAGAATTTAATCGATTATTAACTTAACACGAGATGTTTAGAGAAGTGTTTCTTGTGTTGATCGTCGTCTTTAAAGCTGAGACTCGTGAGAACAATCTGCTTCTTCTGCGTCTTGGTTCTCGGCCCGACACTCGGCACCGACCCGTCTCCGGCTCTGCAGCTGATCTGGAGACGTTTCTAAACGCTGACTCTGCAGACATTTAACTCATCGCAGTAAAAGCTCCTCGAGGTGCTCGGTGGCCTCGACGGGGGATTTTCCCGCCCGGCGCTGCTGGCCGTCCACAGCTGGACTCTTGGCTCGGGCCGCGGTGCTGCAGCAGCCGTTGGCTCTGCAGCGCTGGCCCGGTTTGAGCTGCAGATCCTCAGAGAGCCTCTGCAGCAGAGCAGCCATAGTAGCACCGTTGTCATAGTAGCAGCGGATCTGGTGCCAGCGTCCCCTCGCTCCCTCCGAGTCCATGTTTACGTGGTATTTTTAATCGTCTGCTGCGTGGGAACAAAAGCTCGGTGTGAAGGATTCAGGATTCGCTGGGCTCTGAGTTTCCACACAGACGGACTGGAACTGGAAACACTGGTTTAGGAGTGAACCCAGTCGAGGCGCAGCTCTGCAGTTCACACCAGCTGCTGTGATGTGCTCTCAGCCTGACTCCCTGCAAAGCTGAAGAACTGGTTTCATTGTACGAGCGTGATGCTGCCTGAAACTGCAGCTCCTCTAAAGACAGAACCGGGCTTTGACTCGGCTCTGCAGCGGCTTGTTAATCATTTAGAGCACGCCGACAGGGTTTAGTCTTAATCTGATTCTTTCACAGTCAGATCTGTGACTGTACACTTCTGCTTTTCTTTTTGTCTGATGAAACCCTTTGAGCTCAGAGCGTGTCATGACGGCGTGCAGAAGTGACTCAGGATGTGGCCTGAACTCGACTCAGCAGCGGAGCAAAGGCTTATCTGATCCGTTTTATCTCAAACTCTGTTTTGCATGTGGTGTTTCGGCAGAAGCTGGGGAGGAAGTGTGACCTTAAGGTGTTTGTGCAGAATTGAGCCACAACACTGAAACCACCTGACTGATGTTGCGTATTTGGGCCTGGTGCTGCCCCACACTGGGCTGAGCAGTTTGTGTGGTGTGGTGGGTGGATGGGTGGTGCGTTCACACAAATACCAGAAACTAAACACGTTAATGATTGATTGTTGCTAATAGTTTAGGCGATTAAAAACGTACCAACCGACAAGTTAGAAAGAGAAGAAGGTCATGCATGTCGGGTCCAGTAGGACGCTGTCTGGATGTAGCGTTAGAGGGCAGAAAACGTTTCTCTGTCAGAACATGTAGCATAGACCAGCTGTAGTACCTGGTTGTTCCACCAGGTGGAGCCTTTTACTGAGCAGTCAGACTACAGTTCATGTTGGCAGCAGAGAGCATTGTGGGAGTTTAAGTAGTAATGGACACCACGACAGAGACTCTGAGGAGGTTCATGACCTGTGACTCGAGCTAACGTGGTTTTGGACAAATTATTCTCATTTTGGGCAACTTTTGAGAACTTCCTGACAATTCCTGAGACACTTTGGACTAATTGAAAGACATTTTTGAGAAGTTTTTCACATTTGGTTAAAGTTTCCAGTCATTTAGGACAAATACCAAGTCACTGTGAAGAATCTTTGAGTAGTTTTAGTCACTGTGGAGAAGTTTCATGATGTTCGGTCAGGATTTTTGTTTTGTTTTGCTGTAGTACCTGGTTGTTCCACCAGGTGGAGCGTCTTCCTGTTTGATCCTGTAGAGACCAGAGGAGGCGTCACTCAGACTACAGCTCATGTTGGCAGCAGAGAGCATTGTGGGAGTTTAGCAGCAACGGGACCATGACAGCGATCTATAATCCGGTTCATGAGCTCCGATCTTCCTTCAGCCTCACGACTTTTGTAATCAAGCTGATTTTCGGATATTCGGTTATTCGGGTCCAGCCCTACCTGCAGCAGGTGAACTAAACAAAAGTGACGTTTGTCCTTGTCCAGGGTCACTTATGAGTCATAAATAACTCGTGTGGATCCTGCTGCAGGTCTTTAATAACCTCAGAGGAAATCCTCCCAAACAGCTGGAAGCAATGGACTCAACTTCAGCTTGTTTTAGTAAAAAAAAAACTTGTTTATATTTATTATTGGTGACATTAGTCTCACCTGGTACAGACTTTGTCGACATCACAGTAAAATCTTCTTCTTCTTAGTGACAGAGGAAAGTTTTAGTGATTTTGGCTGGAAGCTGTTTGGGTTGTTTTGCTCTTTGGGATGTTTGTGGATGAACGTGGGTGTAAATGGTGTCCTTAAATGACTTCATGCAGCTCAAAGTTTCTCACCTGTTCATCTCTAAATGCACCTGCATGCAACTGAAAGTAACATCTGAACTGGTTGGACCTGCAGGAGGCTAACTCGGACGTGAAGCCGTCACGCTTTTTGCTGATTAAAGCTTGATAACAACAACATCTTTTCGACCTCGAGCAGTTCCGTGAACTCTAGTAACCGCGTGAAGCTTCCTCCTCGAGTCACGGTTTTGAACTTTGGTCATAATCCTGCTTTTTGTCCTTCCAGGTGGAGAACCGAGCAGCTCAGCGAACAGGACTGCAGCCATCATGGTGAACATCCCAGAATACTTTGCAGGGAAAAATGTGCTCATCTCTGGAGCGACGGGCTTCATGGGGAAGGTACCGGAGTTTTGTTTTACTAGAAGTTTGTGTTTTGGAGAAACTGAGAGGCTTCATCGGTCAGCAAAGTGTCAAATTTTACAAACCGACCTGCAGACACGCCGTCAGATTTTATATATTTGTTGTTTATCGTGTAGACGACCAGGAGAAGCCACCATGGTGAATATGTTTTACTGTGATTTTACACATTTTTGTTAAAATTGCAGAGAATATCTCAGAAAATAACAGAAAAAAAGTATTAATTTACATGTTGACAACAGTTTTAAAAGTAAAATGATTCAAAATATATCAATATTTTACAGACATTTGCCATAACTAATGAAAAATTATGTGTATTAAGCTATTAAGCACTGGAAAATGTGTTTGTTTTTTGTGTTGTTGTTTTTTTACTGTTAAATTTTGACTTATTGGTTTAATAGCAAAGAATATCTATTAAAACATTTAAAAAATGACAGATTTTAACTCTAGTTTTTGCTTTCATTTTACCTGTTTTGATAAATTACAGATGAAAACTTGTAAACTCACAGATGTTTTCCTTCTAATTCTAGTAAAATTACAGAAATTTATTCGTATTTTAAAGATATTGTTTGATTCAAAGAATTTTATTGTTTCAAAAATGTTTGCTAATTTGACTTTTACTTTACAAAATGTTCTGTGTTTTAATAAATTACAGCTAATAACTCAAAATCAAAGAAAAGAGCATGAATTTACATGCACGTGTAAAAGAAACTGTAAATAACGTCCATCAAAGACCTTTTACTGAATAAGAAATATCATATAACAGGTCCTTTCTAGTATTTTCACCTTCTCAGTCAGTATTTTAAAGTATTTTTCTGGTGTCCTTGCTGCCGGTTTTCTTCCAGCGTTGTGTTTTATTTGGTATAAAAGTGATTCTGCGGCTGTGAACTCGTCGGTTTAACAGCCCAACGTCCTGACGTCCGTCCTTCTCGTCGTTCTTCTGCAAACACAGCAGCTCCTGTTTGTCTTCCACGTGTCCGTCTGAAGCCGTAAACGCTCCCGAGAGGAAACTGATTCCCGGTTTTCTGTTTTTCAAGGTTCTGCTGGAGAAGCTGCTGCGGTCGTGTCCAGACGTCAGGTGTGTGTACGTGCTGGTTCGGTCCAAAGCCGGCCAGAGTCCTCGGCAGCGGATCGCCGACGTCCTCAACTGCAAGGTGAGGCTTGGCATAAAGGACGGCCTGTTCTGTGGGCCGGAGCAGGAGGTCGGGGGTTTTCCTTCTGCACACATGACTTTTATTACGTTCTGTCCGTCCTGCCAGAAAGATTCCTGCGTAGTTGTTCTGCCTGTTTTTCTGTTTTTACTTTGTTGGAGCGTATTTGTGCACTTAAAGTGTCTGCAGAGCTCGTCTCTCCACCAGAACTCTGCTTCTTTACACGCCTCCACTGAATCTATATCGTTTTTATTCCCTTACGGATCTACGCCACCATGTGACAAATCTGCAAAACCAGCCGCGAGTTTGGCTCCGACAAAGACGAAAAGACTCAACAACGATCCTGTCCTCATTTATTTCCTCCGTACAGCTGCTTCTGAGACAAAAACGAGATGCAAAGTATTTAAAAAATGGGCACAAAATGACAAACGAGATATGAAACAACAAAAACAGCATGCAAAATGAGAAAAACTAGACCCGCAGTAAAGAAAGAGATGAGAAAAATGAAACGAAACAACCCAAAGAGACAGAAAATTAAAATAACTAGACACAAAATGACACAAACGAGAAACAAAACTACAAAAACTAGACATAAAATGACAAAGGAAACACAAAATGAGACACAAAGCAACAAAAACAAGATGCAAAAGGACAAAAACTAGACACACACTAAAAAAAAAGGCGACGCAAAATGAGAAAAATGAAATGAAACAACCCAAAAGAGACAGAAAATTAAAATAGCTGCACTAAATGAGAAAGATTTGACACAAAATGACAAAAACGAGACACAAAAGCAACATGCAGAATAACAAAAACTAGACACGCAATAAAAAAATTAGACGACACAAGTGAGAGAAAACAACAAAACGAGACAGAAAATTAAAATAACTGAACACAAAATGACACAAACGAGACACAAATCTACAAAAACTAGACATAAAATGACAAAGGAAACACAAAATGAGACACAAAGCAACAAAAACAAGATGCAAAAGGACAAAAACTGGACACACACTAAAAAAAATTTGATGCAAAATGAGAAAAATTAAAGACACAAGAGAGAAAACAACAAAAACATGACAGTAAACAACAGAACGTGACAGAAAATTAAACTAGCTAGACACAAAATGAAGAAGATAAGACAAAAAAACAACAAAGACGAGACAAAATGACACAAACAAGTTGGACAACCACAAAAATTTGACACTAAATGACCACAAAGGGGGAGAATTTGTCCCAAAGACAAAACCTGACACTCCAAACAGCAGAACGGAGACGAACCTGATTGTGTTTGAGACGCTTCCACCTGGTTTCTAGCTGCTGCTCTGTTTTCTCCTCTAACTGTGGCGTCACCTGAATCGTAACCTTCTTCCGTCTCAGCTGTTCGAGAGGCTGCAGGACGAGCAGCCGGGCTTCGCGGAGAAGATCGTGGCGGTGAACAGCGACCTGACGCTGCCGGACCTGGACCTGAGCCGAGACGACCAGAGCGTCCTGAGCGACGGCGTCCACGTGGTGTTCCACTGCGCCGCCACCGTGCGCTTCAACGAGCCGCTCAAGTCAGTCGCATTCTGCTTCTGTAGCCTCCTGCTGGTTCGTCTGCTCTGAACCGAGTCCTGCTGCCGGTTCACCGGCCAGAAAAAACCAATCAGTGGTTCTTCACTTTGCTTCAGTGAATTCTATTAAACGT